ACACACAAACACTATTATTTGAAAACATCTTGCAATTAAACATTGTGACATGAACTTTTAATTTGCAAATAGGTGAGTTAATAAGCACCTTTATAGGAAGTTCAAAAGACTGGATTTATTTTACTTTCTGTCATGTGTCTACCTTGAATCCTTTATGGGCAAGAGTGAGATTCAAGGTAGACACATGACAGAAAGTAAAATAAATCCATTATGAAATGGGCATGAGAGCTTAAAACATTATGATGTACATTAGATATACTATATCAAATATGCCAACAATCTATTTCACAAAAAATAAACCCCTAGCATGGTCATTTTGTCAGTTCATAAAGAACAGCTAAACATATAGTCAAATTGTTCCCTTATTAACTTGTTCTTCTATTGGCCACAATTCTAGTTCACAGCTCGTTTTTGGTATAAAGGTAAAATAGAAATCTAAAAAGTAATAATTTCCCTGATACTAGAAGGGAAAGATGAATCTCCCTTTAGTTTAGCAATTTCTTTAGAAAACTTGAAATAATAAATGATATCTGAGTCTTTCAAATGTACAGACATATTTTAAGCTAAATAAGCCTCTTGTCAATTTTCGTGCCATGAGTTTTCTTTGGAAGCTGTGGAACAATCTCTTTGAAATGTGACCATCCAGGAGGCTATCGCCCTGTCTTCCTGTTTCTGTGGGAGTTTGAACCTAGGCGCACAGCTTGCCACAAAAATAAAAGTTTTATTTAGCCTTTTGGTAACGACAACTGATGTGTATGTAATGGACTGGAACTGCCTGGCTATATACAAAGGTGAGATTTATTTCTCTTTGCAATCTCCTTAGCAGATTGCCTGTGATGCATATCACAGTCTGGTTTAATGCTTATTCAATATCAACTCTACTGTTTCATTATTTTCTACACTTTGTGCAGAAATGTTTACTGGGTTGGCAGGAGATTTCATTTATAATTCTATCTCCCCAATGATTTGGTGGTGAGGATGGGATACAAATGGCCGTTCCTAAATGATGTGGGCCAGCTAAAGGTCTTGGGGCCCATAGCGGTCATATAAGAGGCCCTGGATTATAAAAGTCTCCCTTCTAGAGCTCTGCTCTTTTGGAATACCAGCTGGATAGACTACCCTTTCCAAAGTCAAGATTTTATTATTCAATAGTGTGGGTAAATTGGCCTTAAAATCCTATCAAAATCATGATTAGTAGTTTTGATAGAGGGGAAATATGGAAAGCCAGGAATGTTTCCAGCAATTCTTTCTCTTAAATAGGTAAACCTCTGTCACATCTGGAATATATATATGAGAATCCAGTCTTTCAGGATTTGTGAGGGCTTTAGGGGGGCCTCATTCTAAGCAAATTAATTATGGGTATTCATGGGATGGATATCATTTTAAGAGGAAAGTTAAATGATTTGCATGGCCAGTAGGAAATAATGAGAAGAATGGGAGAGGCAATGTGAGAATTAAAGGTACTTTCTCTTTCTTTTTTTTTAAAATATATTTTATTAATTTTTTACAGAGAGGAAGTGAGAGATATAGAAAGTTAGAAACATCGATGAGAGAGAAGCATCAATCAGCTGCCTCCTGCACATCTCCTACTAGGGATGTGCCAGCAACCCAGGTACATGCCCTTGACCAGAATTGAACCTGGGACCTTTCAGTCCGTAGGCCAATGATCTATCCACTGAGCCTTCCATTTGTAAATGGGTTTCCCTTCAAAGAAGGATGAGGACACAAGTTCTTTAGTTGATAATGGATTACCTGCCTTCTTAGAGGATACAGGCTTGCGTTCCTCCTATCCTAGCCCTGAGCTCACTCTATGTTTTAGTATAGATTCTATTTCCAGGAGTCTCTTATCATCTATTCATCATGGGTCTAGGAAAGCAGAAATTCCAAAGGAATATGTTTAGGGAGTAGTTAAGAACTAGCATAAAAGACTCTGTCCTTATACAAAGGCAACATGATGCAAAGAAGTTTCCCTAATTCCTTGGAAAGGCAAATGTTTTACTAAGTGTTATGTTGATGAATACAGCGACATGATAATGCGAGCCAAAGAGCCATACAAGTGCACATTTTTCTTGTTACAATGTGAGGAAAGCCTGCTTCTCTGATCTGCTCAGCAGGGATGCTAATGCCATTGAGACGCTACCCAGTATTTCTGCCAGCTGATGGTACTCACAGGAAAGCTTTCCTCGTTTCCCAGAAGTTGTGGATGTCCTTCACAGCATGTTTTCAATTCAGACCCCCACGCTTGTACATGTGCACAAGCTATTGTATGAAATTCTGCAATTGGCGACTTTGATGTTGCAAGCACATTGGGCACCAGAACATGACCCACCACCTCAAGGAGTAGCCAAATATTCACCACCCTCCACAACTGCAGAAGAACTAAGAGCTTGGGAGACCCATCGGAGAACATTGCTCACAGCCTTTCCTCTCAAGGTGAGCTGGGGGAAGCTTAGTGTTATATTCCAAAAGAGGTGAGTCTTCCGTTATTTCCACAAAATGTACTTGTACTTGCATGGATCCAGGGACACATCAGAATCATCCTCTGGTCCTACCCACCTTGATCTCGGCTCTCTGCTGACTATCCCAGTTTAAATTAAGGACAAAGTGGCAGAATGGCAAGGACAGACAGACACCATTGTAATTGACTTAGTTACGAATAACAGAAATGGAGCAAAGGGAAGGCCAAATACTATAGGAATGTCATTTGGGCAACTTTGCCAGGAGGCTGCAGTTTAACACTCCTCAGGGAGCCTGCAGTTGGCTGGGGGAAAGGACTGGACAAGGAAGAGAAGAGATGCACGCACAGTAAAGTGATGTCTGGAAGGTACTTGTGTGTCAGTAAAGTGATGTCTGGAAGGTACTTGTGTGTCAGTAAAGTGATGTCTGGAAGGTCCCCCTGCAAGCGTGGGAAGGTTGGGGATACTTAATTCCCTAACCTACCCACCTTGATCTCGGCTCTCTGCTGACTATCCCAGTTTAAATTAAGGACAAAGTGGCAGAATGGCAAGGACAGACAGACACCATTGTAATTGACTTAGTTACGAATAACAGAAATGGAGCAAAGGGAAGGCCAAATACTATAGGAATGTCATTTGGGCAACTTTGCCAGGAGGCTGCAGTTTAACACTCCTCAGGGGGCCATGAGTCTATTCCCTGCAGTTGGCTGGGGGAAGGGACTGGACAAGGAAGAGAACAGATGCATGCTCAGGAAAGTGATGTCTGGAAGGTACTTGTGTGTCAGTCCCCCCTGCAAGCGTGGGAAGGTTGGGGATACTTAATTCCCTAAGCAAAGGAGTTTGCTCTCTTGGTTGACTCCAAGCTTAGAGGGCTCTCGTGCACCTGCTCCCCTGCATTTGCCCACATGGCTCATGGCCATGTGGAGCTTACAGGGCTCTCGTGTTCCTGCTCCCCTGCATTTGCCCACATAGCTCATGGCCATGTGGACCCCACACAACCTGATACTGACCTGGACCTGGCTGCAACATGGAGCAGAAACTGGACACTGGCTTAGCTTTTAGCTCCACTGAACCCCACGCAACCTGGCGCTGACCTGGACCTGACTGCAACTGGACACTGGCTTAGCTTTTAGCTCCACTGATATAGAAAAATGTGAAGAAGTTACAAACTGCTGTGTTTATGGTTCAGTTAAAACTGTTCACTAAAGGAAATAACCTCTATTCTGTTCAATCTAGAAAAGAAGCAATGGAAGATGCTTTGCTATTACAAGAAACTGGGGCACTGGGACAGGGGTTGGAGAGAAAAATCCAGATGATGCAGAAATTGCAGAAACAGGGAAGACACTCCACATATCCTGATAACAAGATTATTACTCAAGTCTTAGCTGCACTTACTCAGTTTTGAGACAATATAGAAAAATGTGAAGAAGTTACAAACTGCTGTGTTTATGGTTCAGTTAAAACTGTTCACTAAAGGAAATAACCTCTATTCTGTTCAATCTAGAAAAGAAGCAATGGAAGATGCTTTGCTATTACAAGAAACTGGGGCACTGGGACAGGGGTTGGAGAGAAAAATCCAGATGATGCAGAAATTGCAGAAACAGGGAATCAGAAAAGTGCAGAAGGCTAGGGCACAATTAACAAGTGGAGTACAGCTGACTGAATCTCAGAGGTAGGACCTGGTGAAATATACTTCCAACAACTTTCTCTCAAGTTGACATATCCTTGCTTTTTATGGTAGATACTGGCACTACTTATTCTGAAATTTCCCCAGAAACCTCTCACTTTCCATCTGGTTGGCTGCTGGTATTTTGAATAAGCTTTATAATTGTGGTGTGTGCGTTTTTTTTTCTTCTTCTGTAGTTCCCACATGAATAGATCCTGTAACTGAGGAACATGTTTTCTTACTTTCTCTTGCTTCTCATGTAAGCCTATTGTGGAGATATCTCTCATGTAATTAAGAATACCATATTGCTGCCGAACCGGTTTGGCTCAGTGGATAGAGCATCAGCCTGCGGACTGAAGGGTCCCAGGTTCGATTCCGGTCAAGGGCATGTACCTTGGTTGCGGGCACATCCCCAGTAGGGGGCGTGCAGGAGGCAGATGATCGATCTCTCTCATCGATGTTTCTAACTCTCTATCCCTCTCCCTTCTTCTCTGTAAAATATCAATAAAACATATTTTTTTAAAAAAAAGAATACCATATTGTATACTCCATATGGAGCATCTGTGGAAAGCCCTGGAAATAAAAGCATCTGATTTTCTTTCTAAAAATAGGGGTACAGCAGAGAGCGGCAGACTCACAAGGCACTGGAAAAGTACCTTCAGCAGAAACAAATCAATGTATCAGTTTGGGCCCTAGGAATAATAATACTGATATGTAGAACGAACAGAAATAGCATATCAAAAGCATAAGCCATGGCCATGTGTTGTCAAACACTACCCTTTGTTGAGCGCTCAATTAGAAGGAATAAACCAGTCACAAAACAAATTAGAAAAATAAGGAATAATTATAAAAGGGAACTCACCCAATACTTGGGACCCTACTGCAATAGTCTTGATTCCTATTGCAACTGTCTTGAGTAAAGTCTTCCTGGCTGTTTTACTAGCCTGCCATAATTCTTCCATTACACCAGTATTGACATAATCTGTTCTTATAAATCTAGCAATCTAAATATTGACAGAGTAAAAGTGAGACCATCTGGAAAACGCTGTTATAAATTCAAGAATAAAACCAATTTTGTATCAGGAGTCGTATACATAAATGGCTACAGGCCCAGGCAGGCAAGTGCAAAGGTTCTTAGAAGCTCAAGTGCAAAACAAAAGAAGAATTAGTGACCATGGAGAACCTGTACCCTCTCTAAAGGGGGCAAGAAGAGTGTTCCAGCCGTTATTTGCTAGGTGACAATCCAAGCCTAGTGTTGCCAGTTTGACAAAAGAAACCATAAATTTAGCTTTATCTTGCATGCAATATCCAGTTCTTTGAAACCTTGCATTTCCCAAACAACAATAAACAAACACATCTACTGATCATATTAGCTCTGTGGCTGCACATTTCTAATACAGTATTATAGCATAATGAAATCTAAGCTATCAGGTCTAAAATCACAAGGAAATCTAGGAGGAACTGCAGATTATTTCTAGAAGATAGTAGTCCAATGTAGTAAAATACCTACCAGGCTCACCATTCTGATAAAAATGCTGAGAGTTTTTATGGGGGTGAAGTTACAAACAATTTGAGCACAACAGCCAGACATGTAAAATGCTGACCCTTTTATACATTCTATGTTAAGAATCACAAAATGAAATTATAATAGCTCAGAGACAGGCAACAAAGTTGTGGTTGATGAATGATATACATGTTATGGGGAGAGGAAGAGGTTAAAGTTGAAGTCAAGCATGCATGAGGACAGCTAAGAAGAGTAGGTTTTTGCTTTTGTTTTGTTTTAGGTTTTTTTTCCTAGAATTATAAGAACAAAGAAGGAATAATACTGGGGCCTATAATGTACACATAAGGTAAATCCTAGGCTTTATTACAGGATTATGGAATAATAATACCAGAAGAACTTGTAAAATTAATAAAGAAAATGAGAAAAAAGAAGAGAGAAAAAGAATGAAATAAAATTAGCTTACCTTCAATCAATTTACACAGAAAGAAATATATACATAATAAGCACATTGCATCTGGGAGTAGTTTATGCTGAAAATAATTTATAAATATTTATGCCAGTAGTTCTCAAACTTTTGATGTGCATAAGGATCACTTGGTAAGTCTATTAAACATGTATATTTTGTGGTGCAAATCCCAGAACACTGATTTAATAGGTCAGGAATAGGGGGTCCAGAAATCTACTTTTAAAAAGTGTTTCAGGTAATTATGATGCAAAATATCCCATTTTTAGAAAAATGGATTTGATAAAGCCTGAATTGCAAATCAAGAGTTTGAAAGGGAATTCTGAGAGCATAC